GCAACAATGTAGGAAACAGATCTGGCGTTATTTTAATAAGACAGACAAGATGTCTGTCTGTCTGTGAATAAAGTCGTTTTTTTTTCTTTTGCGCACAAAAAGCATTCTCGTAGCTTCGTATAATTGCGGTTGAACCACTGATGTCACATGGATTATTTTACCGATCTCCTTGCTTGTTTCTGGACTTGGGAACATTTCAGTTGCGTTGCTGTCTATGCAGGGACAGACAGCTCTCAGATTCCATCAAAAATAACTCAATTTGTGTTCCGAAGATGAACGAAGGTCTTACGGGTTTGAAATGACATGAGGGTGAGTAATTAATGACAGAATTTTCATTTTTGGGTGAACTAACCCTTTCAGGTATTGTTCTCCAGCACACTAAGGCCTCCCTGTCAGTGAAACTACACTGTCCTTCTAACTGAATTATTTTCTGGAATAGGCAGTAAATCTAGAAAGGACTCAAATCTCAGCCTTCAATGAAAACTTCATTATATCATTCCCAATAGTAGGTTGTAACTGCATACAACTGCGATGACTGTTGTATGCCAAATATACTGTATCTTAACTGACTTTCCCAATTTGATTTTGTTGATTGCAAAAGCACAAAGATGACTGTGAGAGCAGGACGTTCTTTGTAAGGAGTGATAAAAGCTAGCATTGTGCAATCCCTACCTGTGTGCTACATTTCTTGTAAATCACTTCCAAGGAAAGAAGCTTATATAATTTCATATCTTTCATGTCAATTCATATGAAATGCTTCAGGACTGTAGCTGTTAATACAGCAAATCCTTACCATAAGTGAATAATTTAGACAGATGTTCCAGAGGTTTATATCTTATTTTTATCCATTTAAGCATAAGAATTTGTGCCAACTGCCATCTGCTTAATTCATGTGAATCTGGTTTGTCAGCATTCAGCTGCTTTTGTAACTTGTGAAAACACATTAGAAAAAGACCTGTTATCTCATTAGTAACATTTAAATTAAAAATACTTAAGGAAATAGTTTAATTTACCCAAACAGGTTATATTAAATAAAAAGTTTAAGATTTAGGTGTTTTCAATTCTATTGATTATCCATCAGAAGAACATTCAATAAAATGATTAATAAGTGTAAAGATCTGTTTCAAGATATAACCATTTCTCTCTCTCCTGTTTCTGTTTCTCTCTTCTTCTCTCTCTCTCTCGTTCATGCTGGGAAAAAGAATGACCTTCACACTGCATTCGTCACTTTTGGATCAAGTTACATTCAGATGATCTCTCTTCCCAAATTACAAACCATACCTGCAGTAAAGCAAGGAAAGCAATAATTTTACTTTTAAGCAACGCCAGGAGAGAAAGTGTGTCTTGACCAACGAAATAGTAAGTATTTAGATAAAACTAATTAAATGTTATTTATTCTATAATTGCCTGAAAGATGCAGGAAAGTTTTACATTTTTTAATAAAATAATTTGTAGTAATTGCATGGTTTTTGTTCAGTCTGTGTTAGAGTGTCAGTGTTGGCACACAATCATGAGAATCCTTGCAATGATTAATAATATAAAATACATTTTTGAATCATAATTACAGAAACAAAATGGTAAATACCTACTAAGATCTATATCAAGATCTTTCTCTCTCTCTTTCCAGGAGCATGGCACCCCCTGCAGCTCACTGCATCGCTCAGTGTCATGAGACCATCACTTTTGAGTCAAGTCACAAACTGATAATCTCTCCTTGAATAATATAAAATGTTCATTCACGTGGAAAAGAAATGTTGTTTATTTCCATTGAATAAATTATGAACACTGCAATGTGTTTGTGTTCTCTTTTTTTACTATTTAATACTGGCCTTCTAACAGAGAACATTTCTAGAAAAGCCCAAACCTTAGCATATAGTGAAATCTTCATTACATATCATAATCCACAATAGTGAGGCAAGCTGTAACAGTTTAACACCAAAGTATGAGACACACAGTGCCCAAAAAAAGGAGGGAGAATTACAGACAATGAAACAAATCATGTTTCAACTTATTTCAGCACAACAAATGCCAACCAGGTCCTAAACAGTAAAAAAAATAAAAATAAATTAGTTCTAGGATAATTGTCTATTTTTTTATTACTATATAGCAGGCCAAAATTCTTCAGTGTCTGAGAGTTAGGAGTAGGAACGAAGTGGATCTTTTCATTTCCAAGAAAAGAAGATTGTGATTTCATTTCATATCTTTCATATATCGATATAGATTCATTTTAAATGCTTGACAAACTGTCAATTACAGTAAATCCCATCATACAGTATGTGAACAATTTAGGTAGATGTTGAAGAGATTCATATCTTAATTTTATCCATGTAATCATCATTTGTTTAATTTTTATTTGTTTTCTTGATTCATGTCAGTCTGTTCTGTAACACATTATAACCCTCTGTATACTGTTTAGAAAACAAACTCATTAGTAGTAACCTTGATAATACTTGAGATAGGAATGATTTAATTATCCAAACAGGTTTGTATATATTATATTAATAAGTACTTTAAATAAATACTCAATCTGACCTGCGTTGCAGCCTGGAATTAAACCACACCATGCTGGTTTTGTCTGGCCAGAGGAGAACCGGCCCCCCGACTGAGCCTGGTTTCTCCCAAGGTTTTTTTCTCAATTTCTGTCACCGATGGATGCTTAGTTGGGGACACAATTTCTGACAATATTGTTGACTTGACTGCACAGACACTATTTGAAGAGAACTGAACTGAGCTGGATGATGACATCACTGAATCAACAATGAACCAACATTAACTGAAAAAAATGACTGTTTTCTATTGTCCTTTTGCATTATCAGCACATGTTTTTTCTGTTTAACACTGTAAAGCTGCTTTGACACAATTTGTATTGGATAAAGCGCTAAATAAATAAAGGTGACTTGACTTGACTTAAGGTGTCTTCAGTTGCTACTTTTTTATTGTCATTAGCCTAAACCATAACCTTAACCCACTCCCCTTTCCAAAAACCTAACCCAACCAAAATCCAATTACCCATGTGCCTGTTCCTTTAAGACTAAAATAGTCTCTGTCACTTTCTTACCTTTTTTGGCCTGGGAGATCTCAAACACACTTTTGTAATCAGTTGACAAAGAAAGATTGCCATATCTAAAGTCCACTAGATACATTCATTACGTTTTGTTGTTGTTATTGTTGTTTTACCATTGAAATTCTCGTTTTTTTCCCATTGAAACGTTCAAAGTACTTTCCTGACATTTATAATTAGTCAAATTGATAAAAATATGTTTTGTTTTTTTTTTGCTGTGAAGATTGTCCACAAGATGGAGACAAATGTACAATAAATAAAAGACTAAGTAATAAGATCACATTTAATATGTGTTACTTTTTTGTAGTTATTTTTCAGTGTAGAACATGCACGAGTATAGTTATTTAACCCCAACATTAAGCATTTAAATAAATAAGGGCAATGGTAAATTATTAAAAAAAAATTATATATACAGTATATATATATATATATTAAATAAAGGACCTATTTTAACTAAAAGCCCAATGAACTTGAATGCTTTATATAGCATTAATATGAGTATTTGTGGTAACAGCCGTTGGCATGTTCAGATGTCAGAAATCACATACTTTCACATATTAAGTAAAGGCATGAAGTTGAGAGATAAGGGTCATTCTGCTCTTTTCATTTCATTTCCTTCTAAATGTACCCACAGAATCTAGTGTTACAAAACTGAACATTACATTTACATTTATTAATCCCTAATAAACTGGCTTCATCAATCTATACATACACTTCTTCAAAGTACACACACAGCAGTTTGTGTTCATTTAGTTTTTTAACACCAGTTTTATACAGATGAAAGGAAACATCAATAAATTGTGCTTTATATTACAGTCTCACACCACTTTTACTGTATATGCAGTATTCCTAAAAATATGTATTCCTGTATCTCAAACAGTAGAGCATGGTGCTGGCCAGTGGTGTAGCAAGTCAGCCCCGGGCCCATATGCAAAAACATTTGTACGGCCACCAGTTCAAGCGGCACGTGAATGAATCATCTATTTTTCTGTTAGTTCCAGCACAAGATAAACATGAATGAATATCAGAAGACATGTTGAAAAAAATCAGAACAACTTAACAAATGTCTCATGTAGCCTAATCGGTCGATCAATCAGTGTTTCGAAAATAGTCAATAAAACACATTGATTAACTTTATTCACGCAATATAACAAAACTTTCTTAATCTGGTAATTTTGACTTAATTCTAAAAATATCATGGCACTAAAACGCTGCCATATTTATTAAATTACTTAATGCAATAATGCAAACACACTCTTGGCACAGCCGCACAAAACGCAAAAAGACAGAAAGAAAGAAAGAAAGGAACCCCCCCCCCACCCCTAAAGAAAGAGAATTAAACCTGTGCAGGTGTCGCAGAAGCTATATGTGATACAGTCTTTTAAACTAGCTAGCTACCAATTATTAATTATTATTTTATTTGGCCATGGCAATGCAGCGTTTGCAAGTAGTTTAAAAAAATTACGTAGTTCTACGACAGCAATATAACAAATGCACACAAGAAATTACAGAGCCCTGCACATGACATGCAGACAATATATTTATTAAGAATTCGTTCCCTCGTTTTAATTAAATGGTCCCCCTCGTGTGTGCCCCCAATCAGCCCGGGCCCATATGCACGTGCATACCCAGACACTACGCCCCTGGTGCTGGCAATGCCAAGGTTTGATTCTCAGGAAATGCATAAACTAGTAAAATGTATACCTTACAATCAGGGGCGGTTCTGGGTGGCTTGTTAAAAACTTGGTTCAAAATTGATTGTTTGTAATATTATTTGTTGTGGAATCATTACAATTTTCTGTGATGGTTTTATTTTTTATTTTTTGTTGTGTGTTTCTTTTTCAGAAGAGACATAAGCCTATATCTGTTTGTGGCTGCTGTGTGTCATATGACACACAGCAGCCCCAAACAGATATAGGACAATGGATATTTTGTATAACATAAAAATGTTATAATGCTGTATCATGAAAATTAATATGCTGTCAGAGCTGTGGAGCAGTAGGCAAACATGGTTTGAGAATTGTAGTGACACTGAATACATTAACATCGTGTGATGTATAAATTGGTGGGGATGAAAAATCCAGCCCGATCTCACGGCAATTCTTACATATTTTATGAGGTGGCTAATTCGTACGAATTTGTACGACCTCACTCGTATAAATTTATATGATTTGTGAAAAAAAAAATCGTACGTATTTTATGAGTTGGCAAATTCGTATGAATTCGTACGAAGGACCACACGTAACCCCGCCCCAAATTTACCCGTCACAGAAATCGTACAAAATCGTACGAGTGAGGTCATACAAATTCGTACGAATTAGCCACCTCGTAAAACACGTAAGAATAGACCAATTATAGGTTTGTAAACATTCAGGATGCGGGCGCATCATGGTTGCAGAAAACCCGGGAGAGATAGCTTTTATGGCTAGAGAATTTCACGGATAGGGTACAAAATAGTTAGGTTTAAAAAGATTATAAATTATATTGATTAGATGTCATTTTCAAAATGTTCTCCGCATATTACAAGAGCTTGTCACCCAGCGATAAGCACTGTTATTCAACGAAATTGACGTTAGAGAGTGGGATAGTCTTTACAGATCCGAAACAGGGATGACGTTTGTTGTGGGCGGAGCCTATCTGGAGGCAGAAAATGACGGTTTTCAAGTGGCAGTCTATGGAGCCATGGAATAAAAGAATAAAAAAAGGTAAACTTGATTTTATATTTCAAAATTCTGACTTTATTCTCGCAATTCCGAGATTATATCTCACAATTCTAATAAGGAAAAACAACTCGTCATCTTTAAAAGTAGAGTAATCATAACAGTTCCCTCTCGAGCTTTCACGAGACATCACAGAGATATTTCTCCGTTATGCGAACTCCTTCCCTTCCAACCTTTCCTGAAGTCCTATTGGCTCCCGCCAGTCCAAATGACTGACCAATTGACGCGAAGTATGCAAATCACATGCAAATACTGACGAGCTCGACACGCATTGCACGCGACAATTACGTCAGAATCTTCTACTTCACCTGTTGAATTCACTATGGCAACAATCTGCAAGATCTGCGCGGGACCGATAGAGCCGCCGGATCAGCACGACTACTGCGTCGCCTGCCTGGGCCTGGCCCACGCCGAGGCGGCGCTGGACGAGTCCAACTGCGGGCATTGCGCGGACCTTCCGGCCCGCGTACTCCGGACCCGCCGCGATGTGGCTCGCGGCCTATTCGGGATGAGGCCCACTGCCGCCAGCGTGCCGCTGGTGAGCCCTCCCGGTGACAGGAGCGTCGTCTTGTCGCTCCAACAACCCCAACGGTCGCCCCGTTCCCCGGTCTCACTCCCCGAGGACTGCTTCCGCCCTCCTTCCAACATCGCAGAGTTTGTATCCTTTAGCCAGGAGGAGAGGGATGACTCGATGTCCATCTCGGCCTCGGAGAGGGAGGATTGGGCGGGATCGGAGTCCGATCAGCCGGACAGCATGGGGCCCCCAGACCTCCAGGAGGAGCTCATGAGGGTTCTGTCAAGGGCTGTCCAGGAGTTGGAGCTTACCTGGAGTCCTCCAGAGGAGCCTGCCAGGAGTAAGCTTGACTCCTGGTATTTCAGGTCCACCCGGAAAGCTGACTCGAGGACGTCGGTCCCCTTTTTCCCCGACGTACATGAGCAGCTGGTGAAAACATGGTCTGTGCCCCAATCAGCGCATCCACTCTGCCACACAGGCCATTTTT